CAGGCTAGGATTGTCTTTTGCCCTTAGCCAAGTATTAACATGGAGATAGTTGAGTCCCTAGAGGAATGTCTCTCTGCCTGTTTCAAGGACTTGTCAACGGGCTGTAGGCAGTAAGGAAATTGAATAATTTTTCTTCTGCCATTGTTTCCCATATCATAAATACTGAAGGGAAAGGAGGGCTGAGGGGAAGAGGGGAACAGGGGGGAGGGAGGGGGTTGAGGGGGAGGAGGATACGGGGGAGGGAGGAGGCTGAGGGGGGAGGGCTTCTAAACCTGCGGTCCAGTTAGTGGGTTAGGGGCTTCCAGCAATGATTCTGGACACTGAAGCTCTGACTTCACTAAGTGTGCCCACATGCCACGCCCCCAACACACAACCCAACCAGCATACAACCTTCACCCCCCTCTCACTTCTGGAGCATCTGCAGGCCCTCCCTTCTTGGTTCATGGTAGCCCCGCCCCCGTGAGTGGGTGCAGCCAGGCTGGGGAGCCCCAAGGCCAGGAGGCATTTTGTCTTTGCAGGGACATATTCTCCTTGGGATTTGGGCCTTTCCGCTGGGTATGCACGTCAGGGGACCCCCAGGACCTGGCAGTCACAGATGAGCTGGCCACATCTGTGCTAGAGGAGGCCATTGCTGACGGAGGTGAGGCTGTGGCATGGGAGATGCTCACAGGCAGGTGGCCCAGCAAAGGCTCGGGTAGCAGCCCACCCCCTGATGCAGCCCCCTTCTCCGCTCATCCTCTGCCTGGCCCCCGCAGGCACGAGAGCATGTGGCCTCGGGTTTATGCCTGTCGACAGTGCTTCCGATTCTTCGCAGCTGTCTGCTGTGCCCCACTCTGCCTTCCCTGTGTCAGAGCTCCTGCCGTGGCCTGTGGTTTCTCCGAGAGAGAGCGTGGCTCTGCCTTCCCACGTGGATGGTGGTGGTTGTCCCCCGACGGACGACCCGCCTCCGCCCCTTGTTTAACCTCAGTCCCTTCCTGTGTAGTGGATTTGACATGTTGCTTATCACGTGGAGAAGAGGAGGCAAGTATTTGATGAAACTTCCTCAGCTGTCCTAGCTCCTGCCCCCACTTCTCCGCAGCTTTTCTGCAGGTCGCGGGCGCCTTCTTTCCAGTTCTCTCTGTGGATCCTTCAGCCTTGGCTGCTTGTTTTCAGTCCCCAGGGCCCATTTCACGCTGCTGCCCACATCCAGACTCGGTGGGCTGGGGCGGGTCCAGGTTACCCGGACGCAAGGCCCGCAATACCGGGGGAGGGTGGGCGGGCACCTGTGTGGGAGGAGCCAGGCGGGGTGGGGCGGGGCGGGGCGGGGCCGAGGCCTCCTGGGAAGGAGCAGAAATCGCCAGATGCTGTCTGGTGCTAGAGGAGCCGGCAGGATGGTGGGTGTTCACCCAAACGTCCCCGGAGGAAGCGCTGAGCTGTTGCACCTGCTGGTGGCCACGGTGTAAATACTCTCCGGGTGGCTGATTTCTAGCGCGGCTCCACGTGGAGCGGCTGCAGAATTTCCCCCAGGCAGGTAATCTCAAGAGCAGAGAACCTAATAAAAGGTAGTAAAGTATTTAGGCAGTGATGACTTGTGAGCATTGCCTTCAAAATGTTTAAAACTGTGAGTTTATTTAATTGAAATTTTAATGATGTCTGTGTCAACTACTGTGTCACACAATTCCTGAAGATTTAAGTCTGCTCCCATGAGCTGGGAGGAGCAGCTCCCAAGCAACACAGTTACCACCTGACTCTGCACGCCCTCCACACGTTAGCCGACTGGCCCGTCTTACTGGGATAGGCCAAGCTTCTTTCTACCTCAGGGCCTTTGCACTTGGCTGTTCTCTCTGCCTAGAGCACTGTTCCCTCAGATCTTTGTGTAGCTAGTTCCTTAGCATTTAGGATGTAGCTTGACCATTACCTCCGCAGAGAGGCCTTTGGTCCCCCGACCCACCTCCCTAGTGACTACCTCACCACACTTTTATTTCCTTCATGGCGCACAGCAGTCTCTGTTCCCAGTGCCTGGCACAGCACCTGGCATACAGTGAGGACTCAATAGATGTTTGCTGAGGGAATGAGTGTATCAGGCAGTGGGTTGCACACGTCTGTGCATTAATTCATGTGACTATTGGCATTATGGGTCCCAGAAGTCAGATGGTCTGGTGTGGTGCTGGGGATGGGGGCTTTCTGACCCCATGTCTGGGCTCCATGATGGTTGCAAAACAGGTGTCTGTGCTGAGCAGCTGCCAGAGGGAGGGCCTGTGCCTGAGCCCGACAGGACAGGGGCCCCCAGTGCCTGTGACACCCTGCTTTCTCCCTGCAGTGAACCCAGCTGTGAAGCTGCAGTATATGGACAACATCCGCTGGATCCGGGAGGCCACCAAGCACCGGCTGGTGAGGGCTTGGCCTGGTGGGAAGCAGGGGTGGGGTGCTGCTTGCCACGCCCAGGCTGGTAGATGTGGGCCCGAGACGGTGCCATCATACCCCGTGAGACTGCTTAGGTGGCAGCCTCCTTGGCCTCATAGGAGGCAGCCGCAGCCACCTCACCCAGCAGGCCACCGGACAGAGAAGCCCAGGGCCTTTCAAAAGGTGCCCTGGGGCCCTGGGGCAGCGACCAGCGTCAGTTAGGTTGTTGCTCACCCAGGTACTCCACAGATAGCTCAAGAGAGTCAGTCCTCCTGGCTTCCCAGCCGTGTGACCTGGGGCGAGTGGCGCAGCCTCTCTGAGCCTCCCGTGTCATCCGCACAGCGGAGATGCTGCGGGCGGTCCGCACGCCCAAGCTGTGGTGGCGCGCAGGCTTGGAGCAGGCCCTCTGGGACAGCCTGTGCATGAGGCACGGCCGGGGCCAGGGCTGAGCAGAGGGGCATGCTGCTGCCTCACATCTGGGGGTGTGCTCATGTGCACTAGGGCTTTGGGGGTGGGGGAGCGGCCATGTGACAGTCAGGGGAGGCGGAGGATCAGCCAAGGCACAGGTCCTGAGGCGGCAGCAGGCTTGGTGTACCAAGGACAAACGAAACACGGGCATTTGGCTTGCACGCCTTTGGCCACAGACCTCAGTGGCCAGACACTGCCTGGTGGACACACATCCGTCCCTCGCCTGGGGGTCCTAGGGCCAGAGGGGGACTCCCTTGAGCACCGCCCCTGCATCCTGGGCTTCGGTGGCCCAACACCACCCACCCAAACTCCTCCTGGGCCAGTGGTTTGCACGTGTGTTTCCACCACAAGCCCTGTGCCAACAGCAGTCTCTGGGACCGCTCGGAATCTGAGAGGACCTCCGGACTGTTGGACTTGAGGATCTGGGCTGCAGGGAGGTTGGGCAGGAGCGGAAATGTGTGGGGCCAGTCCAGAGGTGGCCTGGAGAAGAGAAGGACCCAGCCTCGAGGGAAGGGCTCCCACCAAGCAGGAAGGGGCTGGCGGGAGGATGAGAGGTCAGGGGCGTGGGGAGTGGCCCTCTGGACACTGCTGCAAGGGTAACGGAGAAGCAGGACTGTCTCTTCTGTGTCTGAGTTGAAGTTTTCTGGAAGTTGTGTTCTCCGTACTTGTTTCACGTTGCTCTTTGCCTTGGGAAAGATGGTGGTCGCAGAAGCCCATGCTTTTTAAACATTTTTTTTTTTAAAGATTTTATTTATTTATTTGACAGAGAGAGAGACACAGCGAGAGAGGAAACAAGCAGGGGGAGTGGGAGAGGGAGAAGCAGGCTTTCCCGCGGAGCAGAGAGCCTGATGTGGGGCTCGATCCCAGGACGCTGGGACCATGACCTGAGCCGAAGGCAGACGCTTAACGACTGAGCCACCCAGGCGCCCCGGGATTTTTAAACATTTTAATTGAGTGTAAGGTATACTCTTGATGGAGCTGGCAATCTGATACCAGTTCCTCCTCAATTTTCTTTTTCTGGATCCAAGACATCTGAAAATCTCTGCAGTGCTGACTTCAACTCTAGTCCTTCCCACAGGGCTTTGAGGCAGCTGGTGGGAGTAGAGTTAGGCTGTGGGTTAGCAAGTCATGTGCAAGGAAGAAGCGGCTCCCCTCACCATGCTGGCCGGCGCCGTGGCCCAGAAGAGCTCTCTTTTCAGGCTCACGATCACGGGTGCGGCTAGCTCCATCACCCGCTCCTGAACCTTCCACCCCATTCCAGGACGAGGGGCCGGGCAGCTGAGGGAAAACCTACATCCTCTTTGGAGGATCCAGGGTTTCTCAGCCTTGGCACTACTAATATTTGGGGCCAAATCATTTTTTTTTCAACTATGGCAACATATATATTACCATAAAATTTTCCATTTTAACCATTTTTAAGGTACAGCTCAGTGGCTTTAAGCACACTTACATTGTGTGCAACTGTCACCACCATCTGTCTCCAGACTTCTTCGTCTTCCCAAGCTGAAACTCCGTCCCCATTAAAACACGAACTCCTCATTCCTCTCCCCCAGCCCCTGGCAGCCACCATGCTGCTTTCTGTCTCTGTGTAATTGACGGCTCTAGGGACCTCATGTAGTGGGATCATGCAGTATTTGTCCTTCTGGGACTGGCTTCTTTCACTCACCATGATGTCCTCAAGATTCATCCACGCTGTAGCATGTGTCAGAATTCCCTTCCCTTGCAAGGCTGAATAATATTCCATTGTCTGCATAGAATATATCTATTTTGCTTATCCGTTCATCTGTCAATGGATACCTGGGGTGCTTCCACATTTTAGCTATTGTGAGTAATGCTGCTGTGAACATGGGGGTGCAAATATCTGTGCGAATATCTGGGGGCCAGATAAGTTTCTGTGGGGGGCCATTGTGGGATGTTTAGCAGCACTCCTCCCATGCTGGCAACACCCAAACGTGTCTCCAGGCATTACCCCATGTCATCCTGGCTGAGAACCACTGTGCCAGACAGGGATTCCTTTTTACTTGCTGCAGTTTCTGTTTCCTGGTAGCACTTGTCTTACTCCAGAGGGGCTGCTCCTGGTGTTTCTGTCCACAGGCGCTCGGCCGTGCCGCCTACTGCCCAGGTGGTCGTGGCAGGTGGCTCAGCCTCTGCACCCCGGTTTTCTCATCTGTAAAGTGGAGCCTAGGATGAGAATAATAGCACCTTCCTCATTAACTCACCAGTGAGCGACGTTATGCAGAGTACTTGCGGCTACGCCAGGCACAATCCAAAATTGCATTAGGTGGCATTAATATTATTTTTATTGAAAGGACTCAAGCAGGGGTATGCTCCTAATAGTTAACATCCCTAGAGATGGGCGGGTCAGGGTCTTGGAGACCCCTCCTGGGGTTAAGCCTTGAGGTGTTGGATCACTGAGGGACGTCTGGGGGCCTCGACTGCATGCAGACATGCAGGTGGTTGGCGTGGTGGCCTGGGGGCTGGACATGAGGGCCCACCTCAGGCCTGCAGACTGTAGAGCTACCACACACCTTGGGGTCCTCCACGACCTCCCTCGAGGGGACTATCTGGCTGCTGGCAGACCTGTCACCCAAGTCTCCCCCTGCGTATCACTAAGTCACCAAGGTTCCTCTTCTCTCCCTTTCCCCCCCAGGTGGTGGGGTCCCAGGCGAGGATCCTGTACTCAGACCAGAAAGGCCGTGTGGCCATCGCTGTGGCCTTCAACCAAGCCATCGCCCATGGGAAGATCAAGGTGATGCGTCCTGTGCTGCAGGCAGGAGGCCTCCCCTAGTTTCCTTCCAATCAGTGCCGACATGGCCCTGAGGCCCCGGGGTCTATGTTTGTGTCATGTGGGTGGCAGATAACTGGGGACCAGGAGTGATGAGGCCTGTCCTCAAACCCAGCCTCTGACATGTTCCCTGCTGTGTGACCTTGGGCAAGTCAGGTGCCCTCTCTGAGCCTCAGGTTCCATCTTCTGTGAAAAGAGACTAATGTTAACCTAAAAGCCTAGGTGTGAGGATCAAGTGAGTCATCTTTCTTGAATTATCTTCTTTTTTAAAAAAATTATCTTTTTATAAACCATGACAAACTTCCCTGGCTTCCCCCCGTTTTCCTCCTAGTCAGCCAGCCCACCATGGAAGACATGGAGCTCTGGGCACACTCATTTGGAGGGCCGTCTTGCTCCCGTTCCATAGGCTCATGCGCAGAGTTCTTGCTGGCATCCTGTGTTTGGGAGTGCCAGTATTAATGATTAGATATGAAAGGGAAATCAGGTTGGATGAACGTGATGCCTGTCCCGGTGCACCCACCGGGTGGCAAGGTTTTGGTGGTGGCAAGGACAGCAGCCCCAGCCCATCTCAGGGAGCGCTGCCAGAGCACCCTGCTAGCGTGCTCAGGAGGAGGCCTGGGGCAGCTCCGGCAGGACGTCTCTCTAGGTGCACTCACGTCCAGGCTGCCATCGGCCGGTTGGCACGGAGAGCTGGACGTCTTATTCATTCATTCCACACGCGTGATTGAGCGCCTCCTCCATGCCAGGCTCGTTCTAAAGGACTGGGGACCACCTGGCAGAGAGCCAAATAGACAGGGTCCCAACCTCATCCACGCACTGGGGAAGGGAAACTGACGATGTAGGATAAAGGCATAAATTCAGAGGGAACTTCAGATGGTGATGAACATGAGAAGAAAATGAATGGGGGTGATGGGGTGAGGGTGATGGGGTACAAGTGGCAGGGAGGGGGTAAGGGGTGGGAATGAGTGGTGACTTTAGACAGAGTGGTGAGAACAGGCCTTCTGAGTGCTGATGTAGAACTGAGACCTGAATATCTGGAAGGTGCTAGAATCCCTGGGGGTTGGCAGTTCAGAGCAAATGTGAAAAGCAAGCTTGGCCTGTTCAAGGAAAGGAGAGAAGGGTTTCTTAATTCAGAGCAATGGGGAGTTCCGCTTTCAGCAAGATACCTCCTCTTACGCAGGGAGCCCGTGAAATCCTATGACCACTGGGGAGGGCTGGGAAGACCAACACTCTTGGGGCCAGCCATAGTTCCTTTGTGAGACACTCAAGAAACTTCCCAGTTTTGGTGTGGGAAGAGCTTGCCTGTTGCAGCTGGGCTGCACTGCCTTCCTCCCCCTGAGGACAGCCAAGAGGAAGGTGCAGCTGGGCCAGACTAGCTCTCACTTCATGCTTGTGGTCATGGAACATTCCCCGTTGCCCCAGCCCCTTCACGTCTACCACGTAATTGTTCCAGTTAGAACTTGTTTTTTATAAATGGAACCACCCTGTGCCTGGCACAAAGGAGCCCGGGTGACCTGTCCTTAGCCACGGCCCCACTCAGCCTTCCCCAGGGCTGCAGTGTATTCTGTCATTGGGGCGGAGAGCTGCAGAGCTGCCTGGCAGCACGTCACAGACCCCCAAGCAGCCTGAGATCTTTGGGAAACAGGAAGAGTTGCCAACACATGCATTTGAAAAATCAAACCCCCTGTGCTTTCACCATGTGAAAAGTCTCTGTTCTCACAGAGAATGGCAGCACAGAAAGGATCCTAGTGATTTCCTTGTCCAGAAAACCAAGGCCCAGAGAGGAATCGTCCACCCGGCACCCCTGGGCTATCTGTCTGCCTCTTTCGATAGAGCGCAGGCTCAGGAGAAAGCCCAGACTCTAGTATACTGTGTGTGGATTTAAATCCCAGCCTGTCCACTTACCAGCTCTATGGCATTGGGCAAGTTTCTTCTCCTCGCTGGACCTCAGTTTTCCTGTCTATAAAACAGGCATGGTAACAGGCATACCTATCTGGATAGAGTCGCTGAGACTGCCCAGTGAGGCTACACAGGCATAGCACCTGGGGGGCCTGTGCGTGTAGAAAGCACCCAATCTGTGGAATCCATTAGTAGCTACAGGAAAAGCCATCAGAAACATCTATGCTTCCTCTTGTTGAAGAAGGTCTATTCCCAGGGGGAGCGATCCAAAGGGCTTCTGGTGTGTGCCAGGCAGCTATGGTGGACACTGTTAGCTGACATCTCATATCCTTCCCTGCTGCAGGCACCAGTGGTCCTGAGCCGAGACCACCATGATGTGAGTGGCACAGACAGCCCCTTTAGGGAGACCTCCAACATTTATGATGGCTCTGCTTTCTGTGCAGGTGAGGAAGACAAAATTTTTTTTAAATCTTTTTAATGTTGGATTTAATTTTGTTTAAAAATCAATTGATTCATTCAGTCAGTCATAATGCTGCAAAAAATGTTCTGGCATCTGAGAGACTTAGCATAGGGTGACCAGCCCAGCACACCGGGGTTTCTGGGATCTGGGATTTCTGGTTTTAAACTGAGCTAGTGTCAGGCAAAATGGGACAGTTGGATGCCCTAATCTCAGTTGTGCACCTGACCCTGTCACTTGCTAGGTGGCCTTCAGCAAGGCATTTAAAATCTCTGAACCTCAATTTCCTCATCTGTAAAATGGAAATAACAATAGTACCTACTTCAGAGTGTTGTTGTGAAGAATGAGATGAATTAATATGTGTGCAGCATTAGGTCAGTGTCCTGCAGCCAGCGTTCAATGAAGGTTATCTGCTGCAGCTGCTGCGACTGTTCTGCTTCTAAACCCACTACAATCCTAATCATCACAGAGGCTGGTGGGTTCTAGTCCTGGCATAGCTTGCTCATTCCCAGCACTTGGGGGCTCCTTCCATTATGGATGGGATGCCAAGCAAAGGAGGTGGACACTCAGGAACCCCATCTGTATCACTTTTTTGAAGGAGTTGATATATTTCATGTAAGTTATCAAATTTATAGGTATAGAGTTGTATTCCTTTATCTTTTTAATGTCTGTGGGGTCAGTTGTGATGTCTCCTCTGTCATTCCCGATATTGGTCATTTGTGTGTTCTTTCTTTCTTCTTGATCAGTCTGCTTAGAAATTTATCAACTTTATTGATCACCCCAAAAAAAGAAACTTCTAGTTTTATTCATTTTTTTCTATTGCTTTTCTGCTTCCAAGGTCATTGATTTCTTTTTTTTTAAGATTTTATTTATTTGACAGAGAGAGACACAGCGAGAGAAGGAACACAAGCAGGGGGAATGGGAGAGGGAGAAGCAGGCTTCCTGCTGAGCAGGGAGCCCGATGATGGGGCTCGATCCCAGGACCCCGAGATCATGACCTGAGCTGAAGGCAGCCGCTTAATGACTGAGCCACCCAGGCGGCCCCCAAAGTCATTGATTTCTGCTCTAATCTTTAGTATGTCCTTCTTTCTACTGGCTTTGGGTTTAACTTGCTCTTCTTTCTCTGGCTTCATAAGGCAGAAACTGAGGTTACTGATTTGAAACTTTTTTTTTTTTTCTAATAGAGGTATTTAATGCTCTAAATTTCCTTCTAAACACTGCTGTAGCTGCATCCTGCAAATTTTTATATATTTTCATTTTCATTCAGTTCAAAATATTTGTTAATTTCCCATAAGACTTCCTCTTGGATCCATTGGTTACTTGAAGTATCTTTTTTAATTAATTAAACATTTTTTAGAGAGACAGTGTGCAAGTGGGGGAGGACAGAGAGAAAGAGAGAGAGAGAATCTTAAGCAGGCTCCATGCTCAGTGCAGAGCTCAAAACAGGGCTCAATCTCATGACCCTGAGATCATGACCTGAGCCTAGTAGGACGCTTCACTGACTGAGTCACCCTGGCTTCCCTAGAAGTATCTTTTTAAATTTCCAAGTTTTAGGAGACTTTTCAGATACCTTTGTTACTGACTTCATTATATATGCTATATATATATAATGAATTCATTATATATACTACATTCATTATATATACTGACTTCCATTATAGTCTGAGAACGTACTTTATATTTGTTCTGTTCTTTTAAATTTGTTAAGGGTTGTTTGGTGGCCAGAAAATGGTCTATCTTGGTGCACTTGAGAACAACATATGTTCTGCTGTTATTTGGTGGGTTCTACAGATATCAGTTAGGTCAGGTTGGTTGATAATGCTGTTCTGGTCATCTGGATCCTTACTGATTTTCTGCCTAATTTTCTGTAAATTACTGAGAGAGAGTGGTGAAGTCTCCACCTGTGCTTGCGGATTTGTCTGTTTCTCCTTTCAAGTCTTAACCATCTTTGCTCCAAGTATTTTAAACCTATGCTGTTAGGTGCACACTCATTTCAGTTTCTGATGTCTTCTTGGAGAACTGACATCTTTATCATTATGTAATGTTCTTCTTTGTCCATCATAATATTCCTTGCTCTGAAATTCTGATATTAATATAGTTTATATTCATATCTATGGCCACTCTAACAAGATGCCACAAACTTAATGGCTTAAAACAACACAAATGTATTCTCTCACAGTTCTGAAGGTCGGAAGTCTGAAATCAGATTTGGTGAGCGAAAGCCAAGACATGGCTGGGCCGTGGCATCTCAGGAGGCCCTAGAGTTTCCCACCCTTTCTCATGCTCTAGAGCTGCACTTCTTGCATTTCACAGCCCAGTATAAGGAGGAGGGTGTTGTTAGGATTCTCCCCGATCTTCTCTGGGAGCACCCAGCCAGATTTTTGGAGGAAGAGCCTGCGAGGACATGCACACCCCCTTATATTTGTGTCCCAGAGGACTCAAGGTTTCAGGCAAGCTCATGCTTGTCCTTTAGCAATTTGTTAGACACACATGTTAGGTGACCAGCCTGGGTTCTGTTTCTCTGTGCAAAGGCCTCTCTCTCCCCAGACTGTAATTAGTTAGTTGCCCTGGGACCTCAGTTCTCTGATGGGGTCAAGGACAGTCATTAATTTGTAGTTGTCCTCCACCCTTATTTTTTGTTGTTGTTGTTTTGTTTTAAGGGGGGGGAGGGACTCTCTTTGGCTCTCTGCATCCATGAACTAAAATCAGTACCACCACCCTTTAATTCTTTTGTTCTTTCTGCTTCTGGGGCACTATATCTGGCATTCAGTGCTGGAGAGCATAACTATACAGAAGGATAACAGTGGGTACTTGAGCACTTGTCAGTACTCCAGCTTTTCGTGGCTCTGCAAACATAAATTATTGCTGTTTCTAGAGTCTGTGCCTAGTTCCCTATCTGTCCTTCAGGCCCCACTCAGCCCATTGTCGCCCTGTTCAGAGCCTGACCTGGCCCCCCAGCCCACCTCATTCAGGGAATGATGGGCGGTGGCCTCTTTTTCCGCAGACATGGCTGTGCAGAACTTCGTGGGAGATGCCTTTCGAGGTGCCACCTGGGTCGCTCTTCACAATGGTGGGGGTGTTGGCTGGTAAGGTTTTTGGAGAACTGGGTGCTGTGGGTTTGGGCTGGTGTAGAGGTCTCGGGAATTCCCTTGAGGGTCCTGGGCCCTGCCTCGCCTGAGCTCGCTCTGCTGACAGTGTTGCTGTGATGTGTTCCTCATGTGAACAGGAAATCACAGGACATGGCCGAGCCACTCTACCTTTCAGAGTCTCACCTGTCGCACTGGACACAAAAGCTGTAAAAACCATCCCTACACTTATCGTGTCAGTTTCCCCTTTGTTTTCACAGATGTTTTCTCAGGAATTCTCAGTGCTGTCCTGGCCCGGGCCTTCTCCACTGATGTGCCCTGGGCAGCTGGGCTGGGAGGCGGGAGACCTGGATTCTGGGCTCTCCTGGGTCCCCGGCTCACAGCTCTGCCCTGCCAGGCCTGTTCCCAGTCTGTGCCATGAGGAAATTGGGGTTTGTAGAAGGGTCTTATTCTGGCTGACAGTGGCAGTTCCATCATGAAGAGGTCTGCTATAATCCTTCACCCTAATTCTAGCATGTGGGGGCTTTCCCACACCACTGGGCAGTTCTCCAACACCCCCTGGGTGTCCACAATTCAACTCAATTCTGACACCATCTGCTCAGAGACAGAACCAGATCCCACAGGGTAAGGGCTCAGTCCCACAAGGATGCCACCACCTCAGATGCCAATTGCAAGTCTAGGTTGTCACCTGTGCATCTGACTGACGGGCTACAAATCAGAGGTTCCCACAGTAGCCTCCCTGGGTTCCATTAATGCGCTCGAGCAGCTCACAGAACTCAGGAAACCAGTTTATTACAAAGGATATCAAAGGGTACAAGTGAATAGCCAGATGAAGAGGTACATAGGGAGAGGTCCCAAACAAAAGAGCTTCTGTCCTTGCAGAGTTTGGGGCCTGGCACTGTGGCACATGGAAGTGTTCTGGTTCCCAGCCTAGAACCTCTCCAAACCTGTCCTTTTAGGTATTAATGGAGGCTTCATTATTTAGGCATGATTGACTAAATCATTGACCCCAGATTCAACCTCCAGCCCCTTTCCTCTCACTGGAAGTCTGGGAGGTGGGACTGAAAGTTCCAATTCTGTAGCAGTATGGTTGGTTCCACTGGAAACTAGCACCCCTGCCCCTATTCCTTAGATGTGATCCAAAAGTCACCTCATTCACATAACAAAAGACACTTTACCCGCTCTCAGTGCTTACAAAATTCCAAGTATTTTAAGAGCTCTGTGCCAGAAATGGGACTAAGACCAAATATATATCTTTTATTATAAATCACAATATCAAATCCACAAAGAATAATGAACAACTAATATTTATTGTACATGGATGGTGTGGCAAGCATTTACTAAACTCTTTGGATCTACGCTCTCACCTAATCGTAGAAGCAAATACATTTTACAGATGAGGAAACTGAGGCACCAGGAGGTTAATGAGCTGCAGCTATCCAGCTGTCCCCTCTTCCCAGACCTGGGAAGCTCTCAGGTCTGGGCTGTCCCGCCAAGTTGGACTCCTGGCTCTCCGGGGCAGCAGGGGGCGCTGCCGCTTCAGAGAGGAAGGCAGCTTTCTGGCCAGCCATCTCTGAACTGACCTCTGAGCCCGTTCTGGCCAGACTGAGCCTGGCCTTGCCCTCCACAGCCAAGTCCTTTAGCACTGGAGCTTCCCAGAGCATTCCGATCGGCTGGCTTCGAGGCCAGAATTCCGAGCTGTAGCGCAGTCAGGCGGCTCTAATTAATGGAAAATGTGACGGGAGTATGTGTTTTTTCCAATACACAGGCTAGAGAAAACCAGAACGGAGAGTGCCTGGTTGTGGGGTACCTCGCATTTTGTCACTGGATTTGCTGAATTGGTGCTGGAGGTGAAGAGAATGAGGTTGAGTAACATGAGCTGGTGGTGGAGTCAGGATCTGAACCCAGATCTGTCACCTCCCAGGATCCACCTGTCATTGCCAACTGAGCCACAGGGGGCAGGAGGGATCAGAGCAGAACTGGCCTGAGAAAGCATCCATGACATGAGGGTCTCATGGCAGGACCCCCTGCAGGGGGAGCTCCCAAGAGAGGGAATGCTCCCTGCCAATTCCCAAGTTGCTCCCACCCTCTGGCTGCCCCCAAGGCTTTGCAGACAGGACCGCATACACCCACATAATTTAATCCATCAGATGCTCCCGAAAGGCTTACTGCAAAATCAGCAGGGAAAAAAATCTGTACCTCAACCATTCCTGCTCCAGGAGGAAATCACTTTCAACTCGTCAGTTAATTTTTTTCTTTGTTCTACACAAACCCATTTCTAAGTTATAAGCTCCTTCTGCTATTTCGTGATATGCTCTCAGTATTTATTTGTTTATTTATTTATTTGACAGAGAGAGAGAGTGCGCAAGCAGGAGCAGTGGGGAAGGGCAGGGGGAGCAGGAGAAGAAGGCTCCCCGCTGAGCAGGGAGCCTGACGATGTAGGACTCGATCCCAGGACCCTGAGATGATGACCTGAGCTGAAGGCAGACGCTCAACCATATGAGCCACCCAGGCACCCCTGCTTTCAGTTTTTATATCATCTACTGTCTCCCTGTTTTGGAGCACTTCCATTTCCAAGACAATCTGCATCATCTGTGTGTCATCTTCCTCTTCTCTGTCTCCTTGGAGCCCCTCTTTCTGGTTGCTTGCTTGGAGTCTGTGCTCATGCTGTCTGTCCAGTGGTCCTTGCTGTCTGCTTGTGTTTTGAGAGGGCACCCACAGCCCGGTGTGCACAGGGACCTTTGGACCATAGGCTGCAAAGCAGGAGAGATCAGTGGTCAGTCTCTGTTTTAGGCTGGTTGGTCTGCTCAGTAAACACAGGTCTCGTCTCCTGTCCTTATAGGGAGGGTGTGGCCATTAGCCATTCACTATCGAATCTTCACTGCCAGCCTATAAAGCAGTTGCACATCTGGCTTTCAGGTGATGCCGCTTCTGCAGGCCCGAGGACCACTCTGAGTACCAAGGCTTGCAAGGTTCTTGCCCTCTGTGTGCGTAAATCTCCAGTGCAGTGGGGGGTATCTTTGATGTATAGTTCATGGCACAATTGAGAGCATGGATTCTGAAGTTGATTTCTCTGCACAAGTTAAGCTTGTTGAGCTTCGTTTCTCATTGACAAAATGCGCATCATAATAGCAATTGCTATGAACATTAAATAGTGAATGGCTAATGCTCATAGTACTGTGTACAACATGTACAAGGCCTTCTAGATTGACATGCTAGCTCATCTGATCGCTGCAACAGTCCCCTGTAAGAAATAGGTGCTACCCAGGTGGAGAAATAACTTTGCCCAGGTTTCAAAACGAGCTACTTTTGCAGGAGGCCTGGCCCGAATGCATGCGCTAACCTTACTCCGCGAACTACCTGTAAGGGGGCCAGGGCAGGGCCTGGACGTGGCACGCCTCCCATAAATGTTAGCCTTTATCAAGTGCACGCGGTTTGGGACTGCAGGTGAAAACTGTGGGTGTTTTAAACTTTGGTAGCTGTGGTCACATTTCCCTATATAAAAATTCCAGTTTGCATAACCTCAGCACCCTGGGTGTTACCACATGGGATTTGCCAGACTGGTGAGCAAGAAGTGACAAATCCTTGTTGTTTTGATTTGACTTGCTTGCTTCCAGTTTTTGTTTTGAGTTGTGTGATTTTTCTTATTGGTTGGGTGTTCTTAATCCATTCTAGACATTAGATGCATGTCTTGGGTGCACATCCCTTGTGTTTGAATGTCGTGTATTGTATCTGTGCTGGCTGGGTTTTCCAGGAGGCAGAAGCTGGGGCGGAGGTAGAGTGTGTAAAAGGCTTACTGGAAAGACCACCTGAGAAAGGAAGGGGGGTTAGGATTGAGTGGGGGCACCTTCAGTCTCCATGCACACTCGCCAGTCTTGCCGCCTGCAGGGGCTGGGGTTCTGGGGCCAAGGCCATTGAAGGACCTACTTTGGGTGGGCAGAAATGGGCAGGCCCTTGCCATGGTAGTGCTTAGCCTCTGCCCCAAGAAGGACCCTAAGGAGTTATTGTTAGGGGCTGTGAGCTAACCACCTTCTCTGCAGCCAGGCTTTCTGGAAGAGTCCCCTGTGCAGGCCTCCTCTCCTCACAGGGAGCTTTATCTTTATCCAGTAACTTTTCTATTCTGGCTCTTCATTTTTTTTAAAGATTTTATTTATTTTAGAGAGAGAGAGAGAGCGTATGTGTGAGCAGGGAGAGGGGAAAGGGACAGAGTGGGTAGGAGAGCGAAAAGGAAATGGGAGAGAATCCCAGAATCCCAAGCAGACTCCCTGCTCAGCATGGATGATGTGGGGTCTCACAACCCTGAGACCATGACCTGAGCCAGTATCAAGAGTCGGATGCTTAACCGACTAAGCCACCCAGGTGATTCAAGGGCCCTTCATTTTTTAAACGTTGCTTTAAAAGACATTCCTCCTCCTTCCCAAGTTAAGAAAAGACATGCTCCTAAACTTTATTTATCATATAATTTTGAATTTTTCCTTCTTTAGTACATCTGGCACCAGTTTTTCTTTATGTGGCATAGAGCTCTATTTTTCTGTTTTTCTCAAAGGGACAGTTAGTTGTCCCAACTCCATTTGTGAGCAACCCCCCGTGCTCTGCTGATCGTGGTGCTGCCTTTATTGTCTCATCTTCCTGGGCTCAGTGTGCTGAGGTTGCCTCAATGGGCAGGGTTTGCTGAGGTCACATGGAGCTGAGCAGCTTTGCTCTCTAGCAGTCTGGGCTTCAGGCTCCCAAAACAGAAGATGAAGTTCTCATCTCCAAAAGCCCTCTCTGGTCAAAGGACATGCTGAAGTCCTTGCTTGGCGACACTGGCTGGCATCTGCTTTCCCCTCTGTCACCCAACATCAGCCCCCGACAGGTGACTGATGATGACCTTGAATCCACCCGGAGGCTGGTGGGAGATATGATGGGAGCCCACTGACAGGCACAGGGCTGCCCAGCTTGGGGACACAGGCTGAGGGCAAGGGCAGTTGCCCACTCACAGAGGTGCTTGACTTCCACGCTGGGAGTGGGGAGCTCAGCTGGCTCCTGCAACAGAGGGCTCCTCACCTTCTTGGTGGGAACTGGCTGAAATTGTCAGTAGAGCCCAAACGGGGCAGAGAAGCAGGTAAGGCCTGAAGGATCTGAGACTAGAGAAGCTAGGTGCACATTTTGGGTGCAAGAAGGAAGAAGAGCAAATTCGCTGGAAGCGGGGACTGAAAGGTTGGAGGCTGTATTGCCAGGTTCGTGTTTGGCAGTAAGGCCCTGGCAAGTGCCAGCAAGAGGGAGGGCATTTCCTATGTGTGTAACAGAAGGGGCTATGAGGGGTATAGTGATGCTAATAGCAGGAAGGGCAGCCAGGCCTTGATCATGATGCTAAGGGTGAGGATGGAGATCCAGGGGTGCCAGGAAGGATAGGGTGCTCCTAGCTGATGGCACAGAACCACGGGGCAAACATGTGGAAAGTCAGATAGCATTAACATGCTTCACTAAGATTCCCACGACACCTACTGAAGAAATGAATGAACACATGAACGTATCACGTCTGTGAGGGGAGGTAGTCCAAACAGTGCTCAGAGAAATCTGGTCATTAGAAAATAAGAAATACAGAAAATAAAGAACTCAGCCTTCAAATCAAGTTATCAGGACCTCAAAATACACCTAAAGCAAGCTGAAAGAAGAGGCAAAGAAAAGTAAGAGCATAAAGAGAAATCAGGAAGAATGACAGTTGAATTGAGCATCACAAGAGCCCCCCAAGGAAGCAGGCCTTTATGAGATGCACTCAGAACCACAGAGAAGGAGGTCACCTGTGGGAGGTGACGTGGTCAAGAGTCTTGAAGGTGGGTGTGGAGTGCACGGGGTAAAGCACGGAGGTGCAAGTGGGCAGTGCAGAGCCCAGTGACTCCTGCATCCCCTAGGCTGGGGAGAGGGTGCAGACTCCAGGCCGCAGGGGCCAGCCACACTGTCTCCTTGAGCCAGTGCTTCCAAAGGGTTCCCCAAATGTGCATGCGCTTCTGTCTGCTCCAGGCAGGGGCAAACCTGGAGAGTGGCCTAGAATCCTCTTTGCCTCTTGCAGGGGTGAGGTCATCAATGGAGGATTTGGCCTCGTGCTGGACGGGACCCAGGAGGCTGAGCAGAAGGCCAAGATGATGCTCAGCTGGGATGTCTCCAACGGAGTAAGTCACATCCAGGCCTTTCCACGGGCCTTCTCTCCAATGGGGGTTCTGCCTCTCCAGACTGCAGACCTGAGAGAGTGTTCTTCTCCCTTCTTCCCCAGGGAACAGTCCCACCGCTCTTGCTTACTGGTGTTTCCTCTCCCACTGTTGCTGGGTCTCTCCTTGCATCTTTTGGGGCTGTTTCTGAGTCTCTTTTGTCTCTTCCTGCCTCTGGCCCTACCCCTCCAGTCCAGCCTCGATCCCCATAGGGGCCCCCAGCCCTTCCCTCCCAGTGAGAGTACCCCACTGTTAGTGCTGACGACCTCCTTTCTTTCCAGCCTCTCAGAGGGGGCAGCTCTGTCAGGCCGAGCAGCTCTCACCCTCTCTGGCTGTGCACATGCATGTGTGGTCCTGCAGGGGCGGGGGGTGCCCTCCTGCCCCGTGACCACATCGCAGGCCAAGAGAAGGGGTGGTGAGCACAAACAGGGGGCCAGGTGGTCATGGGGAGGATGCATGCTGGCAGGTGTGAGGGGGAAGCGGAGGGGTTCTGCGTGCAGGGGCCCAGACAGCTGGATGTCAGGTGAGGGGGTGAGCGTAAGAGTGGGGTGGAGGGGTCCCTGGAGGGGTGCTAACCAGTAGAGGGGGTGGTCTTCATGCTGAGGGCCACGAAGCAGTGAGGGGAGGGACGGGGGAGGCAAGCATGGCAGCAGGGAGGGCGGGGAAGCCCCGAGGACTGAGGTGGAGAGAACGAAGCCAATTGGAGAGAGATTCTAAGGCGGAGCTGAGATGGATGTGGATTCCCTGAGGATGGTTCTAGGATACCTGGCCTGGTACCCCTGCGTGAATGCAAGGTCTTTCTTGGACATGGGGTAGGCTGGTTAGAAGGATGGCCAGTTTCAGATCAGAGAGGCGGCTAAATACATAGTCCAGCCAAGAGAGTGGGAGGTCTGAGCTAGAGGTGGGAATGGGGCAGACACACAAGACTGCTGGCCCCACACACAGCACAGAGGGGCCCCAAAGTGGGCGAGGGCGGGGATTTGCAGCCCAGCGGCAGTGTGTCCAGAAGGCCCTATTGGGAAGCTGGTGTTGGCACCAACAGCTGCCCTGCTCTCTCCCCATCCTGCCGCAGGTGGCTCGGCGCTGTTGGTCTGGGAACCGGAAGGCCTACGAGATCATCTGCCAGACGATGCAGGACAACAAGGGCTTGGTGGTGACACTCCCGCATGAGGTGGCCGATGAGCACATGCTCCAGCAGGCCCTGCGGCCATGAGGGGAACCCAAGAGCCGGCCTTGGTTCCCTCATCCCCCCTTGGTCCCTGTCCTCACCCTCACAGTCACCGCGCATCTGTCACTACACACCTTTGTCTCCTGGGTTAGCAGTTTCACACACAAGCCCTCACTTGGCCCTCAATGCCCTGGAGGGCATGGCACCACCATCCGCAGTTTACAAACGAGCCAGCCCAAGCCAGAAGAGATGGGACCCTTTGTCCGTGACCCCTGGGAACCCTGGGAGGGCAGCAAAAGTCTCGTCCAGGGCCAAATCCTCTAGCCCGCCAAAAGGAGACTCCAGGAACTTTTGGGGGCTGTGCATGCCATGAATACTGGGCGTCAACCAGTCCCTTCAAAGCCCCTGCCATTCTTTCTTCCACCAAGGGAGCAGAGTCTCCTTTGGCCTGGTTTTTATCAATCACTCTGCCTCCTGTCTGCCTTCCATCCATGCATCCAGCTATCTTTCCATCTGCTGGCCTGTCTAGCTGTCCATGACATACTTACTGTATCTCAGTGCCTCCAGCCATGGGCCCAAAGGAACACGGCCAGTCCCTGGGCTTGAGGGTCCAGGGAGGAAGACAGGGTAATAAAGGATTAGGAAAGAAAGGAAAGAAGCCATGTAAGGTGTCATGGGCAGGATGGCCATGGGTTGGTGGGTTGGCGGCAGGCAAGGTCCTGCCCTAAAGGGTCAACGGTAGTTTGTGGGAAAAAAGGAGAGAAGAGGGGTGCCCCCGATGGCTGGCCCAGTATGAAGTGCAAGAAAATGCAGCGCAGTCCCTTTAGAGGGAGGCCCGCTCCAGAACCCTGCTTGCAACCAGGTGTCCTGCAGGAGCCCTGTTGGGCCTGAGGCTGCATTTTCGCACCCCTCCCCCAGATATCTGATCCTGGTAGTGGCTGGACCCATGGCCCAGGCTCAGATGCAAAGCACCCAGGCAAAGGGAGTTAATGTGGCCATGCTTTTCCAGGCCTTCCTTTTGAAGTAGGCACCCTTTTTTTTAGGGATTCCCCTACTTTTAGGGCTCCCTCCTGCCTCCTCGACTCCCGGTTGCCTATTGCCCCCGTCCTCTGGGGTGCTGCAGGCTTTGGGTATGATTGGCTTTCCCCCTGTGACCACCTAGCCCCTGGAGCTGAGACGAAGGCAGGAGGAGGACACAAGGTAGCAGTGGGGTGGGGGTGGGAGAGAGGGGGAAGAAAGACCCCCAAAGGTGGTAGTACCCTCTGATGACAGAGGAGAGCATGCTGCGGCGAGGACATTTGTCTTGTTTGGTTCACACAGTGGGACCCAGGCCAAACCCTTTGCCTTCCTCAGAACAAGCCCCTTTGGGGAGGGGACTTCTAGCTCCTGCCTCTAATCCAGGGCAGACCATGGCCTCACCCTGCTGTGGGACCAGGCCTGGGAGATGGGGGCCTGGGGGACTGCCTCCCTGTCCTTAGCAACCAATGAGCTATCCCCTTTCCTTTGTTTGAAATTGAAGTCTAGTTGATGCACAATCTTACAGTAGTAGTTTCAGATGCACAACGCAGTGATTGGACAACGCTTCCCCTTTCCTTTGTAATTAATTAGGTTTTAGAAATGAAATGCCAAGACTCTGATAAAACTTTGATCTGTTTAATTTATGTTAATTTATTTATTGGAGAAGGATTATAGAGGCCAAAACTTGCTTTCTGGAGTCCCAATGTGTGGGTATGTTTCTTTTATAAAATAAAAATTTCTCCTAAATTAATAGGTGGATGTGGGGGCCCGGGAGTCCTTAGCTTTCTCCTAACCCTGCCTGCCTGCCAGGACCTCAGGGACCTTGGCCTCTCTGAACCTCAGTTTTCTAAGCTGTATAACAGAGTGTAACACCTGCATCTCAGTCAAGGGGTGACTGTGGTTCTGCTTTATTCTCATCCAGGTTATAAAAAGCCAAGTGAAGGGATGAATTTCCTGCCCCTCTTCTTCCACCCTTCCCACCCCACTTACTGACGTTGGGACCTGCTCCCTTCCCTGTAAACATCCAGGGCCATGCAGGGAGTCAGGCCGAGCTGGCCCCACCACACTTGCTGGCTGTCCAGGCCAGAAGACCTCCCCCCTCCCCATGACCTCACTGTGCAAAGCAGGGCACCTTTGACCATGAACCTCCTTCTCATTATTTCCTAGCCTTAGCTCAGCCCCTGGAGCTCACTGACAAATGACCCACCCTACACACAGAATTGAGAAAGCAATTGGGGGATGGTTGTCTAAGGAGCCACAGAGAACCTGACACCCCTCCCCGTTTACACCTGCAAAGAGGAGGCCAGTCTAGCTGGGGTCTGTGTCTTCAACTACTCAACACTGTTTGTCTCCTCCCTAGTGGCCATTTCCTCCTTTTCCCTTACACAGTCCAAATTTTTCTGGACAGTAGTATGTACATTACCCCATAGTTGATTTTCAGGATTGCTTTGTCATTAGGAGTGACCATTGGCCTAGTTCTGGCCGTGAGACGAGGTGGAAGTCTACAGGGTAGGACCTCTGGGAAAGCTGTTGCTTTTTAAATAAAAGTGGACTGGATTGCTTTTTGTCCTCACCCCTTCCCCCTGCCAGGACCTCAGGTGTGAGGCCTGGAAGCATAGCAACCCTGCTGTGACCACAAGGGCCACAGAAGCACATGGAGGATGCTCATGGAAAGGCAGAGGTGCCCGGGTTCCTGGCAGCATACAGAGCTGCTGTACCAGCCCTGCTGGCCCCACTCCAGCCTCACCTGTTAAAGCCATCCCTATAGGGCTTCTGTTGCATGCAGCAAGTTCAGTGCTAAATCCTCCCATGGTCCGTCAACAAGTCTCCACGAAAGCACCCTGGTGCCTGTATCTGTGTGAATATTCCCTGTTCCTACGGAGAAACAAAGAGAGTATGTCAATGTTGAGACCAGGACTGCCCTTCTTTTCCCATCCAGCACCTTCCCTTAAGGACAGGCAGGCAGGGTTCAATGGCCAGCTTCAGGCCATGGCTCAGCAGGCGACTAGCCATGTACAAGGGCCTCAGACCCCCTCTTGGCTCCACTGCAAGCCATGCCAGTAAGCAGGCTATGTCCCTGGGCCACAGCGTGTCAGCCTGCTGCCTGCTGCCACCAGGGAGAAGGGATGCCCGACATCCAGAGTGGGGCCCCCATGGGGCTCAGCGGGAGTGGGGACAGCTGACCATAGCCGCGTGGACTGGATGATCAGGATGGCTTGTTCGGTGGTGTCTCAGGCAGACACAGGAACTGGATATTTTTCAAAGGGATTCTGTGTGCAGTTTAGTCTTATTTTTAAGAAAGCAGAGATGTGTAGTCTACTGAGAAATGTTTTCATCAAAATGATTAAAATAGAAACCAGTTGGCCATGACTGGCATCGGCTTCAGTTGCCTTGAAAATTTGATGTTGTGAATGTGTCAGGAGCTCTCCCTGGGTAGCCTCTGGCCTCTGTGAACCTGGGGGCTCCCTGGGAATCAGACGCTTTCCTTGCTGGCCAGCCCCGGTCAGTTCAGGAGGGCTGAGCCAAGTGATGAGCTCTGTTGCCCCAGGTTTTTGAGTAGGTTCCTACAAGAGGGCAGGGGGCCAGACTTGACCTGCTGCTGCATTTTGTTTGCCCTCTTTAAAAATGTTTGACTTTGTCACCAATTTTTACAAGTTGGGAGGTGTCACTTAAATATCCAGATTTTCAGTGTACTTAAGCCAAGCGATTAGGTGACACTGTGCCCTTGCCACCTCTGCATCAGCAATCAGCTGGAGGCTCTTTGGGGCTGGGCTTGTTTTTTCCAATTTGCCACAGGCCCTACTGATGTGGGAAACAAAGGCAGAAGAAAAATTACTAAATTTCCTTTCTACCTATAGCCCATTGACAAGTCCTTGAAACAGGCAGAGAGACATTCCTCTAGGGACTCAGCTGCCTCAATGTTAATACTTGGCTAAGGGCAAAAGACAATCCTAGCCTGATTCCCTGTCCCCCGCCCCCCAGGATCCTGTAAGTCTACTTTAACATATAAAAATTCCTTTGGAAACGTCCTTTACCTCTAAACCCCCCCAAGATACCTGTTGGCACTCATCCCCCAAGCATATGGCCCACCGATATCCATCTGAAGGGTCTTGTGACTAAGGTTTTATTACACGGTAATAAATGACCTTTTCCCAACAATAGCTAGCCCCCTCAAGGGCCTGGAAACCTTGCTTCCAAATTCCTTAGAGACCTACGCCATCCCTAACCCCCTCCCAAACTGAAAGTATATAATGGGCCGTTCCTCATCAACCCGGTGCAGCTCTTCCTGCCCACGGGTCCTGTCCCCGTGCTTTAATAAAACCACCTTTTGCACCAAAAATGTCTCAAGAATTCTTTCTTGGCCGTCGGCTTTGAACTCTAACGTCTTTCCTACATCACCTACCAGTCCTTACTGCCCTCCAGTGGCGAGCCCAAGTGTGCCTATTGTTCCTTCTTGGGCTTGAGATGCTGGTTTCTTACACTGCCTGCTTCCCACTCTGTCACCTGTAGTCTCTGCTGGGATTCAAATATCTGTGTGTTATCATTCTCTAGATAAACAGAACCAGTAGGAGATGTATCTGGACATATATACATATATAATATAGATATCTGTAGATGTCTATATATAGATAGATAGATGTTGTTGCTATATATATCATGGCAGTCCCATGGAACCATAAGCTAGAGGACTGGGAAGGCCAGGGGCATAATTCAGTTCAAGTCCGAAGGCCTGAGAACCAGGGAAGAGATGGTGTAAATCCCCGTCTAAGAGCAGGACAAGATGAAATGAGGTGTCCCAGCTCAGTGGGATATTAAACAGGGAATTCCTCTTCCTCTGCCTTTTGTTCCGTTCAGACCCCAACAGACTGAGACCTCAACAGATTGCAGACGCCTACCTACTTGCAGAAGAGCCACCCATTTAAATGCTAATCCTGTCTGGAATCACCCACAGGGACATACCCAGAAACAATGTTTAAAATGGCCCACTGAAATTGATGGGTAAAATTAACATCACAGAAATCCCTGATGGAGAAGTTTCCTTTCACTCTGTGATATTTTGATTTATAATAAAAATATATATATTTGGTCTTCATTCCCATTTCTGGCACAGAGCTCCTTTTAAAACCCTTGGAATTTCCTAACTGGTAAGAGTGATCAAGGTGTTTTGATATTCTGGGCGCCTGGGTGGCTCAGTCGGTTTAAGTATCTGCCCTCGGCTCAGATCATGATCAGAGTCCTCGGATCAAGCCCCACACTGGGCTCCCTGCTCAGTGGGGAGTCTGCTTCTCCCTGTCCTTCCCCCTGCTCATTCTCTCTCCCTCTCTCTCTCTCAAATAAATAAAATCATTTTAAAAAAGGTGTTCTGATATTCATAACAAACTTCTTTCAAGTACACCTGAGTTTATGTTAATGAGGTGACTTTTGGAGAACACCTAAGGATGATGGCTGGTTGCAAGGGGAACCAAGGAGTAATGAGAGGGTTGGAACTTTGAGTGCTACCCCATGTTCTCTGGAAAGGGGAGAGGAGCTAGAGGTTGAATCATCAGTGGCCAATGGTTTGATCAGTTATGCCTGAATATTGAAGCCGCGGGGCGCCTGGGTGGCTCAGTCATTGAGCATCTGCCTTCGGCTCAGGTCATGATCCCAGGGTCCTGGGATTGAGTCCCACATCGGGCTCCCTCCTCGAGGGGAAGCCTGCTTCTCCCTCTCTCACTCCCCCTGCTTGTGTTCCTGCTCTCACTATCTCTGTCTCTGTCAAATAAATAAATAAAATCTTTTTTAAAAAAAAATATTGAAGCCGCCAAAGAAACCCAAAAGGACAGGGCTAGGAGAGCTTCCGTGTTGGGGAACACATGGAGATTTGGGGAGAATGGCATGTTGAGAGGGCATGGAAGCCCTGTGCCCCTTCCCCATACCTTGTCCTATGTGTCTCTTCTATCTGGCTGTTCCTGAGTTATCTCCTTTTATAATAAACTGGTAAGCTGGTAAGTAAAATGTCCCTCTGAGGGGTGCCTGGGTGGCTCAGTTGGTTATGTCTGCCTTCAGCTCAGGTCATGATCCCAGGGTCCTGGGATTGAACCCTGCAGCGGGCTCCCTGCTCAGTGGGGAGTCTGCTTCTCCCTCTGCCTCTGCTCCTCCCTGGCTCGTGCTCACTTTCTCTCTCATTCTCTCTCTTTCACTCAAATAGATAAATAAAATCTTTAAAAAAAAAAGTTCCTCTGAGTTCTGTGAGCCACTCTAGCACATGAATCAAACCCAAGGAGGGGGTCATGGGAACCTCCAATCTACTGCTGGTCAATCAGAAGCACAGCTGACTTGAAATTGATGTGTGTGGGGGGCGGGGGGCTGTCTTGTAGGACTGAGCCCATTACCTAGGCAATCTCCAGGTACATAGTGTCAGAATTGGGTTAATTGGTTAGTGGTGATGGAGGCTGGCGAGGTCCGAGGACCCAGAGGGCTTCCTACAGGACCAGCCAAGACGATCCTTGGCTTTATGCTGGATAGAAATCAAATGCGCGGAGAGGAAGTGAGAGCAGAGTTTATCGCAGACATCAAGAGAGCGCATACAGACAGAGCATCTAGAAGACTCAGAAAGGAAAAAAGAGTGAGTCTCATCTTTGCTTGGGGTCTGGGGTTTTT